ATTTCAAACGAATGTACATAAAACATCACAACTGTCTATTTTACTATAAAGTTAAACAAGAATATTTGAATCTTAAGTATCTAATTATTAGATATATGTGGGTTTATGTAACAAGACTAAATACAACGTACATATTCTTATCTAATTTATGGATTACATCGTCTAATAGTGGTACAAAATCTACAGCATCAATAGATTATAACAGTTTAGTTAAGCCTAAAACCGAATAAAAAAAAAACTTTCATTTAAGGAGAAACAAAATTCATCCTATAGCAGTAGAAGTTCCAATCTTGGAAACATATTATAGTAAACTTTAGTTTGAACTAGTTCCAAACCTTGGAGAATCAGAAGGTTATTATTATAAGCCTTCAACCAATATTCAATTTTATACATTCTTAAACCACGAGAAAATGAGATAGATCGAGCATCAGAAAGTTAAATTAGACTCATTATAAAGCAGTATAAACCTAACAAGAGAAGGCTACACCTCTAAACTTCATTGCAAAGAAATATAAACCAAACAACAGAAGGTTACTACAGTATTCATTTCATTACAAAGTGAATTAAAACTTGAATTAGAAGTTTGACTCACTTTGCTTCATTCTAAAGAACTAGAAACTTAGCAAAAGAATATTAGAATCACTAGACTTCATCACTAAAATTTGAAAGTTATCCCACTAATCTTCATTATAAAAACTATATAAGTCCAGAATTAGAAGACTAACGCAATAACTTTCATTTTAAAGCATTAGAAACCTAGCAATAGAATATTAACTCAGTAAGCTTCATTACAAAACTATATAAACCCAAGATCATAAGGCCAACTCAGTAAGCTTCATTATAAAGCAGTATAAAAACAATAACAGAATGTCGTCATAGAAGGTTTTATTCTAAGTAGAGTAAAACGTATAGAAGCAAGATATTACCCTAGTGCACTTCATTCTAAAGAAGAAAAACCCAGAAGAATAAAATTACCACAGCAGACTTTATTGAATAAGCATAAGATTAACATAGTAGACTTCAAATTAATGTAGTACATGCCCTACTGAACCAGAAGGTAAACAATGGACTCCATTCTAAAAAGGAACAACCCAAGAATAAGAAAATTGCCACAGTCAACTTTATTAAATTAGCATAAGATTAACATAGTAAACTTCAAACTAATGTAGTACACGCCATACCCAAGCCTGAAGATAAACAACGGACTCCATTCTAAAGTGTAATAAAAATGTTAATATGCCAGTAGGCTGTACATTAAGCTGAATACCTAAACTGTTACAACAGTTTGTTTTTCCATGTGAATTATTGTAACAGAACCCATAGAATTCAGATTTTAGGTGTTGTTTTTTTCCCACTTTCTTTTAGATCTAAACACTAAATTACTCTCAACAAGAGCACGACTTTTCATAATTAATATAAATAGTACTGATCAGGTTGAACATGTTTGAGTATATTATAGATAATAACAACATTCAAGTTAACATGAACATTAACACATATATAGATATGGCACTACTTTTATACATGTATTATAAGATGATACAGACAAGTAATACGCTAGGAAGGATCAGTTTCTATGACAGTCATGCACGAAATAAAATATTGTATACTCCATGAACTATATATATGTATATAGGGTTTGCACTTCGCTACCACAACACTATACACCACAAAACAACAAAATATGTACGAATGCATGATGTGTATGTATAAGTTTGCTTTTTTTCCCCAATCAGGCTAAACAACAAAGTACACTACATCTAATTCTTCAAATAAATTGTACCAACGTTTCATTAGCTCCAACATTTTATCCAAGTAATCTCCACGAATGTTCCAGAACATGAAACAGCGGTTATTAAATATATACTTCTAATAGAACTATAGGTTTGGCATTTGATTTGCGCTAACTGAACCTTGATTCTACAAGTAAAATATACTTTATCTGTGTAAGTAAGTTACAAAACCCCACTTAATTATATTTCACAATAAGTAGGGGTGTGAATGTGTTAGGATGTACAAATCAATAAAATGATACAATATTTCTTTACTTGTATTTAGCTCAATAATTTCTAAAATAATGTTTTTATTATTACTGCGAAAACATCTATTAGGGAAACGAAATAAAACTTCAGTATGGATAAAGGCATCTCACTAGGCCTAGTTTTATAAGAGCCTTGTACCTGCACAGACGATCCATGTTTACTGCTTTAAATCTTCTGATAGTGTTTTAACAGGAATATTCGTTGAATTGTAATCAATTTAAATATTATTTTTTATTATTACTGCGAAAATCTCTATTAGGGAAATGAAATAAAACTTCAGTATGGATAAAGACATCTCAGTAGGCCTAGTTTTATAAGAGCCTTGTACCTGCACAGACGATCCATGTTCACTGCTTTAAATCTTCTGATAGTGTTTTAACAGGAATATTCGTTGAGTTGTAATTAATTTAAATATTGCAATCACTGTAATTTACACACTTTATTTATTTATTTAGATTTGTAAAAGAAGAACTGGAACAAATACGGGCAACATTAAAATATTTTTTCCCACAAATTGGAAAACGTGTGCATAGACGCATTTTTGAATATTTAATTGCACATTGATAACAAATGATATGACTGAAATGTACAAATGAACAATAAAAAAACAAGAACAGACATCCTGAACTCTTCCTTCAGAATAATGAAAATAAAAACTGGCACTGAATTTTTTATGATATAAAGAGAACCGAGAACCATAGTTCTTGTTTCTAAACAATAAAAATAACTTACAACCTGAACTCTTGCTTCAGAACAATCAAAATACGAAAACTGAGGTTTGAAAATTTTCTTCTGATATAAAAAGAACTAGCACCCTTAGCTCTTGCCTCTAAACAATAAAAATAACTGACACCCTGAACTCTTCCTTCAGAACAATAAAAAGAACTGACATCCTTAGCTCTTCTAAATAATGAAAATAACTCACACCCTGAACCATTCCTTCTTTAGAGGGTAAATTTCCAATATATGTATACATTTATGATATAGAAATTCTTTCCATAAATTCTATTTGTTGAAAAACGTATGCTCTTACTACAACCATCCTCAATCTCGTCGACGAAAAACTAGGAGATAAATCAACTAACTACATCTTGAAAAGTTGTACCGTTAATAAATTCATATCCCTTGAAACAAACTATTTGTGTGATTAAAAGTTAATACACAAGCACATTTAAATAGAGCCGTGATTTAATATATAATACAAGGAATATTTCTCGTCAATACTTAGTAACATTAGAGTTTCAAACAGAGCAGTATTTTTCGAACTAAACGAAAAGATATCAAAAACCCAACGCCATCTAAGGCGTGTGGCATAACACGACGTATTTGAGTTGTCAGAAATTCTAAGCAACTTGATTGACCTTGTAGCACCAGCTGACACTGCCTTAACAAGAATCTTAAGAATTAATTCACGTATATAGTAAATAAAATAAACTTTTTTTTCTTCCAAATTCAGTATTAACGATATAGTAGACATTAACCCACAGTACATTGTCACACATTCTAGATTCTCTGCTAGTGGTTGTATTAATGAACTCGAAACGTCAGTTACAACCATGAAGACAAAGAACAGAGATATGTAGGTTTTGTATAAGTTATAACCTCTCTTAAGGAACACTGTTTGCAGGCACCCTATTAACAACTGCACAGTTAAGATAGTTTATGTAATCGTTTAAGTTTTTCGTATTTCAAGTAAATGTCTATATTTGAATCATTGAATGTACATTTTATTAACGAACTGCGTCGTGCACTTATGTTTTTTATCTTCTTTACTTGTACAGAATTAAAGCATTTTTGCTACAAAGCGTCTGTTTATATAAAAAAATGAGTTAGGTTTAGGCCTATGTATAGGTTTTTTTCGCTTTATATAAAGAATGTAACGTACTTCATTGTGTTATAAACATACAAAAGTTTTAGAACGATGCAGAAATATAAAAAGTTTATGGAGATGTCAAGCTGTACAATGAAAAAAAAATATGCATCCTAATTCAAAATCAGTTTACGAAAAAAAAAAAAAGAAGAGAGAGATAGAACGTTTAACACTAGGAACTTTAACTTCATTCGAATGGAAAGTGTAAAGATTTACGGCCATGATACTGATTCGTGTGTGTCCACCAGTTACCCGTCGTTAAAACTAATAGTCCATAGTGTTCTTACCGCTAATTTTCGTGTGATGCCAAGAGAGAGACCTCATCGGTGTTTATTATTATCTCATGTGCAATAAACTCAGCTCTTTCGAAAAGATCGGCATGAAGTAACACATTTAAAGTGAAAGCCGGTAATGCGTGTCTCACAGCAGAAGTTTTTAATACCCATTAATCATTCTAACACTGATTTACTCTCACGTCAAAAGAAACTATGAAACAAACAAATGTTAGTAGAAACATTTGCAGAAATTTAAAAAAGAAAGTATAAAGTATTTAAACTGAATAAAAATAACCTGATTATTGTTTGGTAAAAAACTGAGGTTAAACCATAAAGACAAGTTCATTCAAACTTTGCTGTTGTTGTTTTTATAAGTTCAATTAGACATTCTGATTAACATCCAAGTAACGCTTATTACTTTGACGGTTAGAATTTATCTTAAAGTTATGTCATGGACGATTTATGTGTCAAATGTCGAAATTATAACGTTTTTTTTTGTTTGTTTTTATTTGCAAGTATTCCGCAGAAAGACAAGCAAATAAATGGACAGATGTATTAGATTGCATTGGCTGTCAACGCGATAAACGCAGGTAAGGGTAGACATTGCTTCTTCTCGGCTTCTCATATTACTTTGTTTGGACAGACCACAAACAAGTTCTAATCGACCTGTGTGTGCTTATTGTAAAACATGTCTCACATACCATAACTTGATAAAAGTAAAAACTTAAACTATACCACCAACATACGTTCTCCTGAAGAAGAATAGTCAACTATTCGAAAGCGCTCGAGTTTTGGGTCTTATTTTAAGTCTATCAACGTACGTGGATACTCGATAACATCAATTTTTTTTGTTGTTCTTCTAACCACCTAAACCTAATCTCGTGTTGGTAGATAATTTATATGTTTTTCTCCCTTAGCTTAGGTGTTCACTCTCCCATACCAGAGACAAACATCTGCACAAGTGGATAAACCTAGGCTATTATTCTATAAGTTATATACTCAAAGGCGTTATGTGGATTGATTGGACTTTTAAGTTTATGCCTGCGCCCTTGGACTGTGAGACGAGTCCAGATAATTTTTGCTGGTTTCATTCAGTTATAGATGTTTTATTCTTTCAGTTAGACGAGTCAGAGCTCCGTTAATCCATAATTACCTTTGGAACCCAAATGTAACACTTCACCGCTCTCGGGGTTTGAGATTAGACGCGTTGGATCAGATCTGTTTTGTGATGATGGGTGACCCATGATCGGGCCGATAGTGGGTCGGACACCTGGCGATGGGTCGCTGTGAATGGTTTCAGCATGGCGACTCAGTTTTCTGACGTTCTTGGTGTTAGGGAGCTTGTTATCTTTCTTCCATTTCATACGGCGGTTCTGAAACCAAATTTTAATCTGTCGTTCTGAAAGGCAGAGTGCATGAGCAATCTCAATTCGACGACGTCGTGTTAAATAGCGATTAAAGTGGAACTCTTTTTCTAACTCAAGAACTTGATGTCTAGTATAAGCCGTCCTCTGCCGTTTGGCCTCGATTCCCGGCGATAGGTTGCCGTTCGCTGAAAAATAAATATATATATATATATATAGTAAAGGATTACACGCTCCTTACCGTAAATAATAATAATAAAACTATTTTGTGTTTGAAAAATATTATAATAGTGAATTCGTATATACATATTTATACCGATGTAGGTTCAAATGGTAACACTTGTAAAGCAGAAAAAAACAATTCGTATGCAGATATTTATACCGATATAGGTTCAAATGGTAACACTTGTAAAAGCAGAAAAAAAAACAAGTTCGTATATACATATTTATACCGTTACAGGTTCAAATGGTAACACTTGTAAAACAGAAAAAAAACAATTCGTATATACATATTTATACCGTTACAGGTTGAAATGGTAACACTTGTAAAGCAGAAAAAAAACAATTCGTATATACATATTTATACCGTTACAGGTTGAAATGGTAACACTTGTAAAGCAGAAAAAAAACAATTCATATATACATATTTATACCGTTACAGGTTCAAATGGTGATACTTGTAAAGCAGAAAAAACAGTTCGTATATACATATTTATACCGTTACAGGTTCAAATGGTGATACTTGTAAAGCAGAAAAAACAGTTCGTATATACATATTTATACCGTTACAGGTTCAAATGGTGATACTTGTAAAGCATACAAAAAAGCTTTTTTTTGCAACAAAAAAGAGAGTTTAATTCAAGTATTTTAGCAGCACTTTTCATATTATTAAGCATTTAATAATTTAGGAACATTATTCTTGCCGAGAGAATATCTTTTGTTGTGGGTTGGTTTAGGTTCTCAATACTACTTAACAGGAAGTACGAAGCTCAAGAGAAAACAAAACACATTTTGGCTCTTGATTTATTGTTATTACTTTAATCTATGCGAACAACATTGACGTCACAACAAAACTACGGGCAAGTAAGCTGGTAATTTATTACCATGGAGGTTATTTATCGTCTTTACGCACGTGACCCATTACCACTACGCGCTCATTAAAGAAGCCATCTAAGTCCTTAAAGAGAGTGCTCGAGCATATACTGTTTAAAAGTAAAGAATTCTTCACTTACCCGACCCCATATGAGCCTTCTTCATCCACGGATAGATAGCCGGTCGTTGTTTCGAAATGTTCCCAAAATCGGGAGACTCGTTTCCATGGTTTGAAGAGGAATTCTGAACAGGTGAATCTCTCGAAAGAACGTTAGTTGACGGCTGATTCCGCGAGGAAGAAGATGACGCCGCGTGGAAATTAGAATCTGTCAGCGGAGATGGCGGCGAAGACGGTGGAGACTTCTCGGGCGATTGTCCTGGTCCAGGAGAGACAGCATCACGGCCCCGAGTACGTTCGCTCGTTACACAATTTATGGTGGAACCCAGATTTGTAAGCCTTTCAAGTGTTGATATACTGCTCTGGGACAGCGAACATGACGACGGATAGTAGGGACTAGTAGCTCCGTGATTTGTGAAAGCGGAAACTCGGGCTCCGCCACTGTTAGGGTCATAATTTAACGGCGCGTGCTGCGTGTCGGCATTGTGAAACCCGTGATGATGATGCGGTTGCTGAGCGTAATAGCTTTCGCCTTGGTTAGGAATGTAGTTAACCTGTGAATATTCTTCGCAGGGAGGAAATTTGGGTTCCAAATACGGCGGTGAGTTCATCAAAAACGAGCTCATGATCATTAATTTTTGGGTGAATTGGATGGAAATAATTTTTCTTCGCGTTTGTCGTTTAACAGGGCTTAGACTCCGCCCTCCCAAAGAAATTACCATATCACATGGCCATAGAACGCCAGTTATGTTTCTAATCGTTGACCGGCCATTGGAACGTCATGGGAGATCATGACAGAGACGTATTGTTTCAATATGGCGACTGTTTATCTAGTTGTTCCTCGGTAATGATGAAAAAATTCATCTTTGTAGATGGAAACCTGCATATATGCGAGTCTTAACAACGGCACATATACAGATAAACGGCAGGATAAGATTTATGTCGTATCAGACGAAAGTTTATCCGAAGTTAGTAAGTTCCATCAAAAGTCGGTACACAACATTGACAACTGTCAAGGCTGGGATGACATTCGTGCTCTCTGTTAACAGGTAACATCGCACATGGCTTAAATTTTAAATTGTCCGCTGGGTTTTATTGACCCACAATTGAGGAGCCTCATTATTCTGAGTTTGGATCAGCCTGGAAGTGCAATAGGAACTTAGGGTGGCGTTCGCTTTCGCCGTTGGACTTGTGGGAAATCACTGATTAACATACTGGTGCGCATGAACTCTTCATACCTCAAATCGTGAGCTAGTTTATCGACCCTGGGACAAACCTGTAATGCAGGTGGGATCTTTTTCTTGTTTTTATTTTCCACGTTTCATGTCTACGAGTCTTTTCCAAAGAGTTTATTACTGTATGTGAAAGTTTTTAATATAACAATAAGCTACTTTCACTATTTGTAAGTTCATGGAACCTAAAACACATGCTGCGTTATCAGGAAACAAGCGCAATTATAGCGACATAAAAGTTTAAACTACTTGCTTTTCCAAATAAACGGACGTAATTATATTGAATGCACAAAATTCTGATTGGAAGGTACTTGTCGTCTTTTATGTATCACATTATCTGTTACGGGAACTTAAAATAACTTCTCTGTTTCGTTTATAACCAGTTGTTAGACAACTCTATATGGATAGCTCACCATTTAAAATTTTTGTTTTACTAAGAAAAGATTGTTATTTTTGTAAATTAGTTTCACTGATGTTTATGACAGTTATTCTTAAGTCAAAAAAAAATGTTGTGCAACATTTCTGTCAGATACTATAAAACATTGCTCTTTAATAGTTTTTCTAAAGTCAAAAGAGACGTGAGTTATGTAACAGTTTTGTTTAATATGTAATGTTAATGATAACTTTGGTTGTATAATAGTGTGACTAGAGTAAGAGAGACGTGAGTTATGTAACAGTTTTGTTTAATATGTAATGTTAAAGATAACTTTGTTGTATAATAGTGTGACTAGAGTAAGAGAGACGTGAGTTATGTAACAGTTTTGTTTAATATGTAATGTTAAAGATACCTTTGTTGTATAATAGTGTGACTAGGGTAAGAGAGACGTGAGTTATGTAACAGTTTTTTTTAATATGTTAAATATACCTTTTGTTGTATAATAAGTTGACTAAATTCAGAGAGATGTTAGTTATGTAACAGTTCTATTTGATGATACAACCTTTATTGTATGATGGCTGTGTCTACTGTTGATAAAACAATTTTGTTTAATGTGAAAACCGTCTCTTCTCCGTAACAGTTTTGCCTAGTGTGGAAGAAACGTTAATTCTATAATAATTGTCATAAGTCAGATAAGATATTCTATAGTATTTTCAGTATTAATAAAAGTAGGACTTGTATGATTTAGGATTGTCTTATTACAAATAATACTTTTTTTTTATGAAGATATGTAAATGAAAATATAAACGTTTACACCAATAAACTTATTTTAATTTAAGTTTAAAACCATTGATACATTAAACTTTGCATTATTTACGAATAAATTACTATAACTCACAGAAGATTCAAATAAGTCACATGTTAAAAAAGGTGTCAGATCAAGAATGTGATGTTGCTGTACTGTGCAACACACGTTATTAACTTTTCAAACAGTATTCTAGCACCTTGCAATGTTTCAACGTATGAACAATTCGTTGCTGCTTCGTACGTTTATTGATTCCTCTCTTGTATTGGATAAAATTACCTATTGTTTCGATGACCTGTTAAATAATTTCATTCTTATTTTACCAGCAATGGTGTTAAATGTTTGTATTTTCTCTTGGTCGGTCTTAACCCTACAAAAATAACAAAACTTTAGGCTTGACACAAATTAATTATTTTGTAGTAACAAGTGATTTAGTACTGTAATCCCTTTTTTGTTTCAATAACTACGAGCGATGATAGTTTTAAGGCATCTTTTTGTATGAATCGTGTCAAAGAACGATAGGATTTGAGTTATTATATCATTTAGAACGACAGGATTTGAGTTATTATATCATTCAGAACGACAGAATTTGAGTTGCCATATCATTTAGAACGACATGATTTGGGTTACTATATTATTTAGAACGACATGATTTGAGTTACTATGTCATTTAGAACGACAAGATTTGAATGCTATTTCATTTATAACGACATGATTTGAGTTACTATATCATTTAGAACGACAAGATTTGGGTTACTATATCATTTAGAACGACAAGATTTGAATGTCATTTCATTTAGAACGACATGATTTGACTTACTATATCATTTAGAACGGCAGGATTTGAGTTTATTATATTATGTTTAACAATACTAGACCAATGGAGCCGTTAATTGCTGATGAAAATAAGTCGTACCGCATGTACTGAGCTGGGAAATAGGAAAGCCAGCCTAGCCAGACATCGACAAAGCACTAGTACATTTTAGTGCCAAATGTTATAAAATGTGTAGTGTTACTTTAAATTACTGATTGATTTTGCATATCTGAACATTTATTCAGTCTTTTGATAATTGGTAAGCATTTTTTTCCATAAATATATTATCTGAAAGTCACATAAAAGTGTACGTTATTCCTAACTTTTAAAGATTATTTGTCACATCATAGAAAGCAAATTAAACAAACACCAGCCTGGGCAAATCTTAATTAAGTCCATTAAGAGTGTAATACCGGTTCTTCACATTGCGTACACGTTATTAATTAGATCGTAGAGGGATCTTGTCAAATATTACGACCTATTGAATACGATGGAACACGAACGTCTAGGAAACTCGAAAAAAAAAAAGGAATTGTAATAGCTTTCCTTTAAAACGTGTAGGAGTTATTATAAAAACTATATCAAATATTGTAGTAAGTTCTATGTCGAATAACTGAGAAACTCTTTAACAGTATTTCATGGTTACAACTTAAAGTGGAGAAGCTTATTAAAAATCTTTAATTAATCATCTTTACGTTGTTAATTAAACACAATTGAATTTTATCGCTGAAAAAGAGTCCCCCCCCTCAAATTTAAATAATTAAAAGTTAAGGTTTATAAACGCAACTCTATTATCTGAAATTCCAATTATAATTTGGTTACTCGATTGAATGCGAAGAGAACTATCAGTACCGAATATTTTTGATTAAATACTGTACCAAATACTGAAGCACTGAACCGTTATAGTTAAGGACATTCTTGCTATAGAGCCGGAAGAAAAGTCTGTTTGACCTGAAGAAGACCTCCTTTTTCTTGTGGTCAGAGATCATATAGGACCCAGAGGACCTACCATGCTGCGACTGGCAATTAGACGCTTCTCTCTCGCTGACTTTCTCTCATAACTTCAGGTTTATTACAAGCCTTTTGTTGTAATTACTCCCAGGGGATATAATGTGTATAGATTTTCTTGGTAATTAAGAAGTTAAGTTAGCCGATGCCTTTATCCAACCATGAAATATTTATTCTGTGATTGACTTTTAAGTATCAAGTGGCTATTTTTAGGTGTAACGTTTTTGATGACCGATAGAATTAAAGTGTCGTTTTTGAGTTGTTGCTAAGCACAAAGCTACACAATTGGCTATCTGTGCTCTGATCGCCACGGGTATCGAAACCCGATTTTTAGAATCGTAAACTGGCAGATCTACCGCTGAGCCACTGGGAGTGGTTTTTGGTGGATCCAAAGATAAGCTCTGAGTTTGTTTTTTTTTACATATTCTGCAGAATTATGTACGTTCGTAATCCTTGAGCTATAATTGAAATTTCTTTACTAATTCTTAATATAACTAATTTAGCGTTGTTTGTTACTATTTTTTTTTACCACCAGTACCAACTGGATTAGTGATTTTAGGTTTATAGGTTCATTTAGCTTTCATCTAGAAATAATATATTATTGTTTCATATATTGTTTTTTCATAGGCCATTTAGATATTTATTATATTTTCAATGGATTCTATATATATACATAATCACTAAACTAGAAAGTGTTGTTCGTGTGAGATTTATTTTAGTTAATTGATTTTTTTTTACCTTGAAAAGCACCCCAGTGGCACAGCGGTATGTCTGTGGACTTACAACTCTAGAAACCGGGTTTCGATACCCCTGGTGGGCAGAGCACAGATAGCACATTGTGTAGCTTTGTGCTTAACTTCAAAACAAACAATACCTTGAAAAGCTTCTTTTTTATATATGTATTAGGCAAACAAAGCAATAAATGAGCTAAATCTTAATGCTAACTTTTAATCCAGCTATTAGGTACAATATCTGAACAGGAAAAGTAGTTTGTTATTATCTATAAAAAATACTTTGTTTGTAATCAGATATTCATGCAATGCTACTCAAGCAATATCTGCGTTAGCCGTTCCTAATTTTGAACTCATAGACAAGAGGGAAACCAGCTAATCAACAGAACCTACCGCCAACTCTTAAACTACCCACGATAACTGGGACTGACCGTCACATTATAAAATTTCACGATTTTTTTTAACACACACTTTTAAATCAAACAAGGTTTATGGTTTATTATGAATTTCGCGCAAAGCTTCACGAGGGCTATCTGCGCTAGCCGTCTGTAATTTAACAGTGTAAGACTAGAGGGAAGGCAGCTAGTCATCACCACCCACCGCCAACTCTTGGGCTACTCTTTTTACCAACGAATAGTGGAATTTACCGTCACATTATAACGTCCTCACGGCTGAAAGGGCGAGCATGTTTGGGGTGACGGAGCTTCGAACCCGCAGATTGCGAGTCGAGCGCCCTAACCACCTGGCCATGCCGGGCCGGAAAT